TAATATCTAATAACTTAATTAAATAAGATAGAATTAAAATTTTATTTTGAAAAAATAATTTATTAATATTTATCTGATATATTAATATTTTTATACTGGACTATATTATGAATTAAGAATTATATTACAAAATATTAATAAATAACTTATTAAAGAATGGTTAAATATAATGAATTAGATAAAAATAATATTATTTTTATGCAAGATAATAATTTGAAATATATGACTAATAAAATAATAAAATAATTTAATAATAATAAAATTAATATATCTTAATTTTCCAATTAAAATCTAATTAAAAATCTCTAAAATAAGATATATAGACATTTGAAATAATTAGACATTCTGATTAATAATCAAGATTAACTATAGAATATTATTTAATAAATTTAAATTATAAGATAGTAAGAATATTTTATTTAAACTTTATTGATTTTATTTGTTAGTTAGTTAGTAATAGTATTTTAATTTTTATATTTTAAATCAATCAAAAGATCTATATCATATAAATTATAGAAATCTCTTTTTTTTTGTTATTATAATATTAATTACTTATATGATTATCTTTATATATTTTATAAGGTTTACTAATTATGTATATTTAAATTTATAGGTCTTTAATATATGTACACAAAGTTATTAAATTTTTAAATTTGTCATGTGGATGATACAAAAATTTGGCAGCCACTAATGTATAGAATTAATTTACTTAATGATAATTGATTTAAGCTTTCTTTAATTATAATATGAAGATTTCTTTATTTAAAAAAAGTTCACTTAAAGTATTAAAAATAATACTCTGTAAAACTATAAATAAAGCATGTTATCAATTGGTGTCCAAATTATCTTGAAATTATCAAGATAAGATTGTATTAATTTTGGAAATTCAGAAATAATATATTTAATGCCTAATATAAAAATAATATTTCTATTTTTGCTAATAAATATTTCAAACTAATCAAAACTAATATTTCCTCAAATAAAAATCAAACTTAAACTGAAAAAGTTAATTAAAGTCATTATTAAACTTTCAAATATTTCATCAAGGAGAAGAAATGAATCAGCACTTGAAATAAGATTATTATTATTAGGTGAAATACTATTTGTTGCAGCAACTACCACTTTAGATGACGAAACAACAACTTTAGATGAAGCCACAACGGTGGTAATTACTTTCGTGGAAGAATTTTCAGTGGTAGTAATTAATAATGTGGCGGAAGTGGCCAAAGTGGATGTAAAATATTTTATAGAGGTGATGGAACTGGGTGCAATATTAACAGAATTTGGCTTTCCCTGCGAAGTAGGTAAATTATTCTCAGTAATTGTTTGTGTAGGTAC